TTTGTCTCTATGTGGCCCTGTGATGGACTTGCGACCCGTCCAGGGTGTACCCCGCCCCTCGCACAGTGATTGCTGGACATGGGCACCAGCGACCCCCGTGACCCAAAAATGGAATAAACGGGTAAAGAAAATGGATGGATGGATGGATGGTTAGTTCTGAGGTTTTTAAAATTTTTAATGCAGTAGAAGTTTAAATAAAACATTAAGTTCCACAACGGGATCGTTTTAGGACCTAAAAGTTAAAAGTGTGGGTTTTATGGTGAAGTTACATTGCTGACAACATTCATATGTATTCTTCTGAATTTGTGCATATTTTTAATTTGTTTAGACACCAGAGATAATAAAAAAGCTCCCTGGTTTGTTCAATTTGGCAGCACGATGGCACAGTGGTTAGCACTGTTGCCTCATAGCAAGAAGGTCCTGGGTTCAATCCCTGGTTGGACCTGGGGTCTTTCTGTGTGGAGTTTGCATGTTCTTTTTGTGCTTGCGTGGGTTTTCTCCGGGTTCTCCGGTTTCTTCCCACAGACCAAAAACATGCATGTTAGTCTGCCTTCAGGCCAGGTCTCCCTCGTAAAAGAGATCTGTGATCTCAATGGGATTTGCCTGGTTAAATAAAGGTTAATAATCAGGCTCCAAATGAAAACAAATTAAATAGAAATAATGATTGCTGCTTTGTTTTTCAGGACGACAGGAAACTGAGAAAATGCGGCAGCTAGAGGAAAAGATCCAAAGCCTAACAAAGACCCTGGAGAACCTCCAGTCCACCATGAATGAGCATTTCAACCCTGAAGGAAACAAATCTGACTTCAGCAGTGGAGGAAGAACCCCCGCTGATGCAGCTCAGCCAGAGATGAAAGAAACAATTCACAGCATCCAGACTAAACTGGATCAGCTGGACAACCGCACTCAGGTGAAGCCACCCTCTGCTTTACCTGAAGGGAGAACATCTGGTCGACACTCAGGCAGGAAACTCAGTAGAACCTCACCAGCATGTTGGACAAATCTGCTCTCAGAACTGGAGAAACAGATTTAGTTGGTTCCTTGTGAACTAAATCCACAGCATTCTTGCATGAACTTTTTTTTTAACCATTTCAAAAATACATAAAGTGAAATTTACAGTTTTGAATTCATTTCAGTTTAATTCAGTTTATTTCTATAGTACCAAGTCACAACAGAAGTTGCCTCAGGGCACTGTACAAAAATGTTCATATAGGGCCTACATAAAAAGGCCAATTACCGTAATTTCCAGACTATTGCATGAATATAAGCCGTGCCCAGTAAGTAAAAAATAATAATAATAATAATTTTGTACGTATATAGGCCATGCTTGTCTATAAGCCGTGGGTGTCCATCTTGTACCATGCGATATTTATACAGAAATATATATACAGTACATTTTTAACTTTTAATTAAATATGTTCAGGTAACATACACAAATACATACAGTATTTTATTTTTTTTCTGGACAATGCCTGTAACATGGCT